CCTCCATTTAACACGGCCATCGTTGAAAACAAGTACTAGAACTAATTGTGACTTGAAATTTGAAACGTAACATCTATATTTGAGGACAAAATGAACATGTAAATAAGGACAAGTAAATATATGAAGTAATGACAGAGAAAGTATAAATAACTTTGATTAATTAATGAGGACAAGCATGAAAAAGCAACCCCCAAAAAAATGTTAGGAAATGAAGCTTTTTTTTTTTTTTGGCCTGAAGCTGGGGAATGAATCTTGTTGGTACACTTTCTGTCCCAATTTATACTTTGAAATGCTAGCATCTCTCCAAATTTCTATTTTAAACCAAAAAAAAAAGCATTATCATGTTTAGTTTGAATTTCTCATAGTTTCACCTATTTGTATTATTTTTAAAAATAAATATAAATATATGGAATGCAAATTATAGATATCATTTTATAAAATTAAGTTATGCATAACTCTCATAATTTTTTGGATTATAAGTACATAATTAACATCCTCAATTCCTCAATTCTTCCAAATTCTAAGAGGTCATATGCCAAAAAAAAGAAGAAGAAGAAGAAAAACTAAGTTTAAAAGGAGTTTATGAAGAAATACCGATTAACAATGAAAGGGTTATTACGACAAATATAAAATTTTAGTCAAGTGCATTATTAAGTCTCAAAGTTTAACTATTAAGGAGATTATTGACAAATAACTTCAAATTCCAAGGAATTTTGTGCAATTTATTCCTTGAATAAATCTTATATACTTACGTTGGCAGAAAAAATCTCACACACACACACACATATTTTTCTCTTTAAATTTATAGAAAAAACCAGAGAAATAAAAATAAAGAGATTCAAATTCTTCAACTAGGAACATTAACTCATAACATATTGTCAAGAAGAAAAGAAAATACAACTCACAACAGCTCATTCCGAATTTGAGACCAATAACTACAGCTAATGATAAGGTTTAAACTTTGAGTAAACTTTTAAACCTGTTTCATATTCTCAAAAATAAGAAGAAGAAAAATAAATTATTACTCCTTCGTTAAAAAATATAAGACATTTTTTGAAAAGTTGAATGTTAAAAAATATAAGGTATTGTTAATCTTTCGAGGTGCAATTATTGCATTTTTCTCAAAAGTGCCCCTATTAATAATAACTTTATATTTATTGTAGGGTGTTTAATAGGAGTAAATATGAAAATATAAGGTTTGTTGAAAAGTAGGTAATTACTTTATTGAATGGTGAGATTAGATTAAAAATGTCTTATATTTCTGAATAGAGAAAATATTTTAAATGGATGGATATTAAAGGGGGAATTGCAATAAATAGACATTCCAAAACAAAATTCCTAGTCGTTCACATTTTACATGGGGTGAGAATTTTGGAATTGGCTTCTCTTCATTTCCTCTTCGCTTCTCATTTCAACTATTGGATTTATTTTTAAATGGTTGAGATTTGATATTTCATAAAATTATTTTTAATTTTTAAAAATAATTAATAGATCTAATGGTTGAGATGAAAAGTGAAGAAAAATGAAGAGAGAGAAAAATAGAGAGAAGCCAAGTTTGACAATTTCATAGATTGTGAGCGTTAATAGCAATTACAATATTCACCCAAAAAAAGGTAATTAGTACAAATTTGAAGAGATTTAAAAAAAAACTATATTTGGTGAGATCAAAAGCAATGTTTTTAAAATTAAATTGGATATCGAGTCAAAAAGTTCAACAATTTACGGTTAGTGTGGTTCAATTTGGTTAGATCAATAATCAAATCGGTGATGTAATAATTAAATTAAAAAAATTATATATGTATATAATATTTTAAATATAAAAAATAATTATAAAATTACTATTTAATTTAAAAATAAAATTAAATATTTTAAGTTTATCATGATTTAATAAGTCATATGATACAATATAGCATCAAACAATTTAAAAAAATTGGTCATTTTTTAAAAAAATTAAAATTTTTTTAAACAGTTCAATTTTTAAAAGCTAAATCTGATTCCTAATTTGATCTGAATTTTTAGTTCGATCGCTTGTTCGAAATAATCTAACTCGACTCAACACCAAAACACTCTTCATATACTGATCAAGTTAAAATCTAAATTGATTGACGGTCAGATTGATCAGATCATCCGATGTGGTTCGATTTACTAATTATTGGTCAAAAGGGGAATCCGATAATAGTAGTGTGTTACACTGACACATGCAAAGAGGACGAATTGGTTTGTTAAACGCGGGATCAGAGACCGTATCAGCGCCTTTGAGGAGTGACTGCGCAAGTCCTTCCGGGAAGCAGCGAGGCTGACCATTCCTGAGTAATTCCTTTGACCACCATCGTTCCGTCCTTTTCTTTCGTACGCGTGTGCACGCACCTCCTCACTTTCGTTCCAACTCATAAAACAAAAATTGGAGAAATTTTGTTATTCAAAAATATAAAATAATTTTAAAAGCATTTAGTATTTTCCAAATGAAGAAATTATTAAAACGATATTGTGGTGTAATTATTAAATTTATAAAAAATTTTAAAAAATTTATAGTTTTGCTTTTAAAAAAGTGAGTTTGTAAAGTATCATTAATTAATTTTAATGATATGCACAATTTTATTTTAAATTATCATGTAATTTGAGATGAATGGAGTATTATAAAACTCTTTTTTTTTTTTACAAAAAATGTTGTGTTCAAAAATACCCCCTCACCCTAATTTGTAAGACATGCACGGGTTTTAGTGTTCTTTTTCTTTTTCCTTGATCATGTCAACCTTACTTCTTTGATTTGCTACTATAGATGAAGATCAATGAAGGAAATGAGATGAAGATCAGTGATAGGTGTTGTTTAATTGTATTTTAACATTTTTTTGATACAAAGTTTCCATTTAAATTTCCCAATGTACCAAACTCTCCATTCATTTTCCTTTTATAGTTCCATTCCCAATTGCATTTCCTTCAAAATGCTTTCAGCAAACCAAACATGACCTAAAATTATAGTAAATGACATAACCAATGTATGAATAATCAAGCGGTTTTTGGCCTAATAATAACAACAATAATAATGGATTTGAAGAGGAGTTCTTATACTCTAATCCTTTTTGCATGGCACCATAAAAATATATATCTGATATTTTTCTACATTACCTTGACTTAATGTAAATTTATATATTTTTTTAAATTTGGGTTTTTTGCTTATTAAATGACAGGTTTAATAGGGATAAAGTCAAAATTTTAAACAAAAAAAAGGATAAGGTCAGGAATTTTATTAATTTTCAAACAGAATTAATAAACTTATTTTTATTGTTTTTTTAAAAATTATAAATGATTTATAGAGAGAGAAAAAGTGTATCATCTTTTATAGATTCTAATGAGTATAAAATTATAGTTGTGTGCACAGTGCACTGTAAACATGGTGCTAACTGATCCGGTTGGAGAATTAAGGGACATCTTTTTGGAAAGGTCTGCAGAATAAAGTAAAAACAACAAACTGCAAATTGAAAGAAAGCGAATTGAGGTCCTCCAAGAGAATAATGTGAAGACCAAGGGGAGCCCCTGCCCCCTAGGTCCCGAAAATCTAAGCTTCAATGAATCAGCTAAAACAAGGTAAAATTGTTTATAACGCAGGCTTGTAAATTACGGCTATCTTTGGTCCTAGGAAGATGCAGCTAACTTCACATGCCTTCCAGTCTGTTTGGATTGTCTCATTAATCAATTTTTGAGGCAAAAAATCGATTAATATAAAAAGTTAGGCAAACAGTCAAAAATGATCAAAAATCGATTATGAGTCAGGATACACTTTTTTCTGTAAGCTCTGTCCATCAGCTTTTGCATAACGTTTATAAAAAAACGTTATAAAAAAAAATAAAAAAAATTATAAAAAAACACATAATTTAATAAAATAAAATTAAAATCTCTTCTTTTTTTTTTTAATAAAATTTAAATTTTGTATATTCAAAAAATTAATATTTGATATTTAAAAATTAAATTATATAGTAATTTATATAGTTAAAAATCAATTCTGATTAAATTATTAAATATCTTTAATTTGTTAAAATTAATTTTAAAAAAACAGTATTCAAATAAATTACATTATAATATAATCAATTATGATTAAAATCTATCATTTAATTAATTATTTTCATAATTTATTATTCTATTTGTACCACATCCCCGAACTTTATTCTTGTAAAGGCTGGAAAATCAATTCATTATTCTTCCGTGCACCTAATCTTTAAATGCTTATACTTAAAACTGAGACAGTAACAAATGAGAGTTTGGTATAATGAAAGATAACATTATAAATTAAGGTTTGAATTTTTAAAGTATCCCAAATTATACCTCAAGTATGATTGCCTCCGATAAAAAGATTTATATAATTAATAAAAAATAAATAAAACAGAGGCAATATTATTTTGTGCATATAATATTGCAATTTCTTGATTAAAAATTCAATTTATCTGCCAAAAAATTGCATTCTCCCATATAGTTTTGGGAAGCTTCAATTACTTGCTTTTAAAAATTATAATTTTCAAATTCTCATAAAAAAAGATACATATATACCAATTAAAGTTGTCATCATCTGTCACTGAAATACTCAATAATTAAGAATTCAAATCTCAACTCTTATGCGAGTAGCAACAACTGAGTCGAAAGAGATTTACTATTTACTCTTAGTACTGGGGACATAATTTCCGCTGTCCTCGGAGCCTATTCTTCGTATTTATCAAAAGAAATTGTTTATATTTAATACTCAACTATACTTTGAATATGATTATATCTAATGAGAGGGCACATGGTGCAATAGAAAAAAAAATAATTTTCTTTTATAATGATAACATAAAAATAAAATAATTAAAATGAGATAAAATATAATTAAATATAATTAAGCTTATCAAATACTAATTTTGTTTTTCATTTTCATATCCGCGTGCGTCCCCGCCTCCTCGCACGTGCCTAAACGAGGAATCTCATCCCTCTGGCTCTGTCGCTTGCCCTATAAATTGATCCTCATTTGTTCTGTCATCATCCCCAAGCGTAACTGAAGCTCCCTTCCTCTCTCTTTCTGCATCTCCGTACCTCGAGCTCCACAACCATGGAGAACATAGGCGACGAATTCAAGCATTACTGGGAGACGCAAATGTTCTACCAAACAGAAGAGCTCGACAGGTATTTCACTCACCTGAATCAACAATTATGTATGTAATCAAACTCCTTTGTGTATATATGTAGTCCATGATCGATCGAACTTAATTTCTGAACTGATTCTTCCCTAAATTTGGCTCTGAAACTCGGCGGACGACGGCAGCAGCTGGGGACTGGACGAGCCAATCTCCGGCTACTACGACTCGAGCTCGCCGGACGGCGGTGCCTCTTCGTCGGCGGCCTCCAAGAACATCGTCTCGGAGAGGAATCGCCGGAAGAAGCTCAACGATCGGCTCTTCGCTCTTAGAGCAGTGGTTCCCCACATTAGCAAGGTAAACTAATTGCTAATTACCAATTAGTTAGCTCTCACAGTGTTGGACGGAAAAGACGAAAAAGATTAAATTAAAAAGGAAAAAAAAGAACTCGGAATCCGCCAGACCACTAGGAAATGTTTATTCAGTTAGTTAAATATATTATTGTTTGGTGGTATTATTGAATCTGTTGATTAATTAATTGGTGGTCCTGCTGGTGTGTTGGTTGGGGCAATTAATTGAAACAGATGGATAAGGCGTCGATAATAAAGGATGCTATAGAGTACATTCAAGACTTGCACAAACAAGAGAAAAGCATCGAAGCAGAGATAACGGAGCTCGAATCTGGGATGAACATGAACATGAACATGAACATGAACATGATGATGATGAGCAGCAACGGTGTAAATCAGAATTCAAGCTTCGAATACGAGCAAGACCTGCCTGTGCTTCTCAGATCCAAGAGGAACAAGACAGAGCAGCAGCTTTTTGAGTCCGTCAGCTCAAGAACTTCCCCCATTGAGGTCCATGAGGTAATCGCATCTCTCTCTCCCCCCTCGCCCCTATAATTGACATTATAAAACGATTTCCCTCTTATTCACAAATAATTTAATCAAATCTGCACCCACTCATATATAATAATAACAATTATATCTTCTTTGTATCATGTGAAACAGGTTTTATATATTTGTTATTTAAATTAAGTTAAAAAATTGTTATATCATCATTATATAACTAGATTCATTTTATATTTTGATAGCAAAACTCAGTAATAAAGATATAGTTTGATTTTATTTTTTAAGAATATATAATTATTTTTTTAAAAATGTTTATATATAAATATCCATATCATACTAGTATTTTATTCTTAAAAATTGATAAGAAATATAAAGGAATTGTAGATAATAAACGTTTGAGAAAGCGTGGAGTTGCAAGTTTATTTTGATGAGCGTTATGCATGTTTGAGTGTTACGTTGGCGGGTAAATTAGGTGCAGTGCTGTAAAATATTTTAATGAGAAAGACGAATTGGGGTGGGGTCCAGGGGAAATGAAAGAATCCAAATCAATGCCGAAGACTGAAGCATTCATGTTTTATATTCAAACCCCTGTGGGCATAGGACATCTAGCATCGTCACGGAAGACAATAGTGCACTTCCTTCTTTGCCACGTCAAAATTCCAGGCCCACTAGTTTAGACATACAATACAAGGCAGGCAATTAACGATTTTTTTTTTTGGCAAAAAAGAGCTAATATGCCTAAATTAAAAAGAGGAAGAAAAAGTTTGGAAAAAAAAAAATGAGACTTCATATTCTGTTTCTGTTTTCATTCTTTTTTTTTTTTTACAGTATTAGAAGCGATTCAGTTGGATGGATCAATTAAATTAACCAAGATTAAGTTTAATTAGATGCAGCGGTACAGAGAGATCTGATATGGGGTCCATTATTAGACTTTTATCTTCTTCTATTTACCTGCACTCTCGGTCTACCTAGATGTAATATAAATTTGATTGCAAGTTTCATATGTGTTTAAGATCAATAAACTTATATACTATAAATGATGGGGGAATTGAATTGAACAGCTAAGAGTGACATACATGGGAGAAAAGACAGTGGTGGTGAGCTTGACGTGCAGCAAGAGGACAGACACAATGGTAAAGCTGTGTGAAATGTTTGAATCCTTGAAGCTCAAGATTATTACTGCCAACATCACCTGCTTCTCTGGCAGGCTCCTCAAGACCGTCTTCATTCAGGTCAGTCCTCCTCCTCCTCCTCCTTTTTTTTTTTACCTGGTCAAAATCCTTTTGCATTTTCTTCTTTTATCATTTCCATCAATAATATATGTCTGCCTTCAACTTTACAAGCTTTATGGACCGTCAACTAAGTCATACTTTTTTTATGATTTATATGTCTAGTCTGAGATTTTGTGTAGATTCTACACACACAAACACACACATACACTCTTAATGAATACTCCATTGATTAATTACTATCTTTATATATATATATATATATAAAAAATACACACATGTATATATGTATAGCATTTATCAACGAATTATCTTATCAACGAATATTAGTCTCAACGAACAAGGTTAAGGTTATAATCACTTAAGTATGAGGTTCCTTGTTTAAGTCTATCTAAGTACAAAATAAACTTTCGAGAAAACTACTATCATTTTAGCATGAAAAGTGAAAATATTTGAATCTAAGTTGGTAGTGTAAGGTATACGAAATTATCTAAATATGATCAAAAATAAAATTATAATAGGAAAAACACAATTATCGATCCCCATAATTTTATCGAGTTTTACTTTTAGTTTCTATAGTTTTTTTTAATGTTTTCAGTCCTTATAATTATAGCAAGATTGGGTGATATTTGTTATTTAAGTGCCTATAATTTCAATATTTTTAATTATTTTAGCCCCTATTAGGACTGAAAAATGTTGAAAAAATTACAGGAATTAAAAATAAAACTTGATAAAATTATAGGTAGCAATTATTATGTTTTCCTATTATATTATAATGTTAATAAAGTAATAATAATGATGATGATCAAATGATAAATATTTGTATAGGGAGAATAAAAAAATTAATTAAATTGCCAAAAGGAGATGGGGACCATATGCTAGGAAGGGGTTGAGGACTTTAGGAAAAGTGAATAATCCGTGAGTTGGGTGTGTGTTTGTTTTCTTTAGACAATTGTGTGAGATCCGTAATCTCTGAAGTGTTGCAATTAAGCAAGAAGGCCCTCCAGATTGTGCTTCTCAAGGCACCACAAAATAAAATTGTGATGCCATGTCCAATTACTTGTCCCCCCCTCTCTCTGGACAATCTAAAGTTCGAATCGTCACAAAAGAAAGATTTTGATGTTTTGCCATCAGCACTGTCCCTTTCTTCTTTTTCTCAAGGCCACTTCACTCCTTAATTAGCCCCGTCATTACCCACTACAAATATTCATTATAATAATCCAATCCTTATGCTTAATCATTACTTAATCTTATACTGTACAAATCATCTCTATGATTAGTCTTGTCCTCACATTTGGGAATTAGACAACGCTAGTTCATGCGAATCTTATCCTTATTCTCATCTTAATTTAATATACTCCATTTCTGGATGCTTTTTGGTGAGTCATCCGCTAACTACTACATTTTTTTAAAGATTATTATTTGGCTTGCTATTTTCGAGTTTTCCGGGAAAAATAATTTTAAAATCATTTTTAAAATTTATCTCAATTTCACAAATTAAAAAATTAATATCTTACTAGGTAGGAGAAGGAGATGAAATGAGGGATGTACACCTCCAGTAATCAAGTTAGGGATTTTATTGCTTGCTAAATTGATTTGACCTAGGGTTCAAACTCACATGGGCATTAAGAAAACACAGAAGTAATTAGACATATTTCTCACGCGAGGAAAATCTATAAACTTTCCCGGAAAATTCCAGCACCACCCATTTCCTTCAATAGTAGTATATAGAACATGGGATAATTAGTTTGAATTCCAAAACGTGATGCTCATTCGGAATCAGGTTGGCTTCTGAATTCTAATTAGTGCTCTGAATCTTCTGCCTTTTCTTCTTCTCAATCTTGATAGCATATCTCTATCACAGAGTTGGTTTCTCTCCATTTTTTCTCTTTTCACTTCCTCTCCATTCCTCATCTCAATCATCAAATTCATTTTTTGATAGTTGAGATGTAATGTTTTATAAAATTAATTTTTTATTTTTTAATTATTATTAAAACATTAAATTTATGAAAAAAAATAAATAAATTTAAGATATAATTAATTTTATCTAAATTACAATTTAAGATTTAAAATTATAATTAAAAATAAAAAAATTAATTTTATAAAATATTAAATTCTAACCATTTAAAAAAAAAATTAATAATTGAGATAGAAAGTGAAGAAGGAATGGAGAGGGTGGAAATGAAGAGCGAACTCCCTCCACCACGCGGTAGGTCGTTAGTTTGCATCCTCGTTGGTGTCGTCATGTTCTTCGGAATCCTTTGAAGCTTCTATCACAAGACACTCTCACTGTCTCTCTCCCCCCTTAAAGTTTAAACGTATTTTCATTCCTGTTGTCGTCTTCACGTGCAAAGACAAAAACGCCTTGTCGCTTAGCTGGTAGCCGAATTCTGCGTAGACCAGTATAACACAACATTGACCCTTACTTCGTTTCTTTGATTTTCGTCGTTTCTCGAGTAACGAACTAAATAACCAATAGTTCAGCTTCTGAGACTCCCAAATTAATTTTCTTTTAATTTTTTTACATTTTTAAATTAATATTTAATTATTTATTTTCGATTATTTCTTAATTAGGCAAATTATTTTTTTATTGCGGGCGGAACATATTTTTGATAATTACTATTTTATATTTTTCTTGTATTGTTGGTAAATTATAATATATTCTAGTGCAAGTGACGTGGGTTAACATTAAACCAAAATAAGATGAAATCAACAAACCCATTAGAGATGAATTAGGCATGCGACTATGTTTTGCTGTCATGAAGTGACTGAACTTTAGAAATATAAAATTTAGGTGTTTACTATAGAGTAATTATACGCTCAGGTTCTCAAATTCGTGAGTAAATGTTGTTTCTCGGTTTAGTTTTATCGCTGTTGATATTCTTTTAAACTCTGTCATCTATAGGTAACTCTCACATAAACATGTTTCCTCATGCTAATGAAATCAATACCAGCTGTACGCAACCCTTTACTAATCGAATATATAGCTATTTAACGTATAATTCCAATTTTCAAATGTTGCTTGTAATCTAAATTACATGTTACTACATTTTAAACCATTTCATTTAAACGCATTAAATCCCTAGCTTTCCTTGGCATTTGCATCAGCATAGAAAAATTATACTAAGAACATTTTTTTAATTTTTTGAGAAAATAACATATTATGAAGCTTACATAAAGTCAAAGCCGTACCTGATTATTAATTAACCATGGATTATGAATGTGGCCAGCACGACTACAAAAGTCACATCAATTACAAAAGATGACTGGCCTCAGGCGTGCAAGAAATTGAAGTGTCATAATCATAGCTGGTTCTGCAAGAAATTTGAGCCCAATTGCTGGCTGGTTAGCATTAGGGGATATAATTAATTAATGCTGATCTGGAAGAAACCTAAATATATGGCGATTTATTTATTAAAAATATACTTGGAAAAATGATGTATTATTTGAAGAATAAAATTATGCCGGAATCCCCTCAATTTCACTAAAATGATATAGGCTTCTTCTCATGTAAATCCATTGTGTTTTCAGGCGGATGAAGAAGAGAAAGACGTTGTACAGATAAAGATCCAGGCAGCCATTGCAGCCCTAAATGATCTTGAAAGCCCAATGACCATGTAATCACAAATAAAATTACTAGGAAATTTAGGGGGCTCTCTTCAGTTCAGTTGTTTGTGTCTTCCTCTTCTACGTATCTTCCTTGATCTCAATTATGAGTCTTCAGATCACTTAGTTTTAGTCTTAAATGTTCTTTCAAATGTCTAAAAGCCATAACTAGTCGTTGTAAGCTTGTACTTTCCTGGAATGATAATAAAGTTGCATTTCATATACTCATGGGCTTGGTTTAAAATTACATTCAAGTTAATTATAATAGAAGTTTCCCTCTGTTTCTAGAACTTACATTTATTATTTTATTTTTTTAAGCAAAATTATATATTTCAATAAGTATTTATTATAGTTTTTCCAAATTATCCCTCATAAACTCATAATTTTCATTAACAAAAATAATTAATGCAGCTTTATTTTGATTAGATACAAGGATATTTTAGTCTATTTTTTTGTCTAGAGAATTGTAGACAAGGATCTCTTAAGAGAATTATTTGCAAACAATGACCAATAATAAATTATCATTTGGAAAAAAAAAAGTCTGTTATCATTTTAATAACAAATAATTCTATATTAACCTTTATCTGTAAATAATTCTTTTGAGGGATCATTGAATGTGATTTTCTTTTTTTTTTTTAAATTTCTAGACGCAATCATTGTCATTAACTAATTTTTTCATTTTGTGTGATGTGTGATACAATTGTTTTCTTTTATAAATAGAGAAACAGACGGAGTACTATTGGCTGTGAGTTTCATAGACAAAATTTTTTTCTGAATGCTTGACGGAGAGGATTATTAAAAAAAATGAAAACTTGAATATTGCCATGCATTGTGCGTGCGTGCGTGCGTGCGTCAAAATGTTTTATGTTTTAAACATGATGCTTTAAAAAAAATGCTCGTAATATTAAAGAGACATGGGGCATATGTTTTGATGCTTTTCTTCTTTTACAAAAATTCTCTTGCATCAAAAAAATTAAAAGGCCCACAAGCGAATCACTTTTCTCAATATCTGACGATTGCTGGAATTGGTAAAATGTTAATGGTAAAATGTTAATGATGGTCCGATAGAGGTTTGAATCAGCATGATTTCATAGCCGTAATATGTCAGATTTAATTCAATTCAATAATTTTGTTACGTGATTACCTTTGAAATCATAATGCTCCCATGCAATTTTTTCAGCATTCTCAAGAGTAAATCAATCAAAAAACAATCTCTATCATATTATGTCCAAGCATGCATTTCCATTTTGTCGATTCATGTGATTAACCAAGTATGACTAATATTGCTACTTCTAAACAACGAAAAAAAAAAGAACAATAGTAATTGATTTTCACTAGTGTTTAAGAAATTATGAAATCGATATTGTTCTCAAGAGTATGTTAATCATTCTTTGACTGTAAGGGAAATTTGAGTATTACACCATAAGTCATATAACAAAAGGAATATATTGAACATGTATCAAGAAATATAAAGTTAGTTTATGTTTTTTTGGCAATTAAATCAATAACCCTTTACATTAATCAAAGGCTAATCAGACAGTACTTACAGACAATCAAGTGAAAGACATCATTCTCTCCTTTCCTTGAGAATCAATCTTTCTCAAATCATCAAACTTCAAAACAAATACATGAGATACTGCTCAGGGGGGAAAAAAAGCATGCATGCATTCAAAAAAAAAAAATTAATGGGTAACAATTTTAGTACTCTGAACCAAGAAATTTTCCAACATGGACATTTGCATTCATTTAGAAAACGATTGTACTGCATTGAGATAATAGTATCAAAAAGGATTGTGGACACAAATTTATGCTTGGTTTTGCATTGAAAAGATACTAAAATCATGATTTTGATGGAAGCAAGTAGCTACCTGCTTTCATTAATTATGACTTCGATAGTTAATTTTTTTTAATGCAAGATTGAACATTTAAAAAAAAATTGGTTAATTGAACCACCTATAATAACTTAAACTCTCCTTCCCCCTTCTATGAATAAGAGAAGCAAACACTAATGATTTGATGTTACAATTGGGATCGATCCTGCTATCTCATATTTATAGAGGAGCTTACATGTTACTAAGTTATAAAACTATTGATAAAGAAGAGTAGTTAGCTCATTAACTTTGATTGAAAATAAAATATCTTTCCAAATTTTTCCTCATTTAAGAACACTGAGAAACACTACATCATACTTCAACCTCAAGTAAATTGCAATGGGGGTAATATTTGTAAAAGTTTAATTAATAATCTATCAAATGGCTTATATATGGGCCATCAATTCCTTCTATAAGATACCAATATTCCCGAACATGGACATGTACATTTATATATGAATGTATCCATGCATTTTGAGGAAGTGAGATAGAAAAACATGTTATAGGGGCTTGCTTTGATTTGTCCCTTTTTTTAAAAAAAAAATTATTTTGTAAATTAATTTTTACAATTTTTTTCAAAATAAAAGAATAAATGACAATAATTTGAAAATAGTTTCAAAATTAAGAAATAAATCGATAATAATAGTTGCCAATAGTTACTAGTAATAACAATGATGGCTTTAGTTGAAGGTAGTTTACAGTAGTCAAATATATTGTGTTTTAAAAATAAAAATTATAAAACAAAAACAGCTGTAAATTTTTTATTTATAAAATAAAAATAAGAACAATTTAAAAAAATTTAAATCCAAAATATTTACTCAAATAAGTCTTTTTATTTCTAATACCAGAAATTAAACAGGCCCATAATTACACTCATTACCTTTGAGTTATCAAAAAGAAAATTTGTCTAAGGAAAACAATCATAATACTTCCATGCAATGTTTGTTGCATTTTCATGAGCAGCATTATGTCTGATCATATATTTCCATTTTGTTAATTGATGTGACTAACCATTAACCAAGTAATATTAATATAGAGAGAAATTCTTAGATGGACTTTCTTTTTTTTTTTGGCCTGACTTAGACGGACTTGATACATCACGTTATTCATGGTCCATATAATAAAATTATATAAATTCAATCAAATAAAATCTAATGTATCATTATTTTTAATAAAATTAATTTTATAATATAATGTCTATTTAATTTTTTATTTTTCTCTTTCTACTATCATTAATGTTAGAATAATTTATATTTAATGTTGCCTAAATGTCACATTTTTATTGGATGAATCATAAATTTAATATTGCTTGTTTAGGGAAAAAAAGAAAGATGCTAACTTATTTTTAATTAGAAAATGTCATAATATATATACTTCCTCCATTTAAAAATGTAAGGCATTTTTAACCAAATCTTACCCCCAATAAAGTAGTTACCTACTTTCAAACTAACCTTATCTTTTTACATTTATTCCTATTAAACACCTTATAATAAATATAAAGTCACTATCAATAAGAATATTTTTGAAAAAAAATGCAATGATTACACTTTAAAAGACTAAAAATGTTTTTTATTTTTAAACGTCTAACTCCTCAAAAAATGTCTTACATTTTTGAACGGAGGGAATATATATAAGGCTAAAGTATACTTTTAGTCTTTTAACTTTATATAAGATTTTAATTTAATTCTTTAATTTTATAAAGTATTTTTTTAGTCTTTTAACTCTAACATAATTGGTTTTAAATGATTATTTTTTATATCAATCATTGCTATTTTAAAAAAAATTAAACTTAATATGTCAATATTTAAAAATTTAATGTAAAAATTTGTTAAAATGAAACTAACAATATTAAAATTATAAGATTAAAAAGATATTTTATAAAATTAAAGGAATAAAAAATAAAATCTTGTGTAAAATTAAATGATTAAATATATATTTCAATTTATATATCAAAGAAACTAGTGCGCACGTGTATGGAGGTTGGTGCGTGCGTAAATTTCATGAGAATGATACAACAAAAAACTAAAGAGCATCCCAACAAGAAAATCGAAAGTATTGGATGAACATTATGATTTTTCAAGTGGGAATCGCTGACCGGAGATAAAACGTTTAGTGGGCAAAATATAAACCATAATCTTCTAATAAGTCCATCAAGTGAACCCAAATATGTCATAAAGCCCATTGGTGTCATTTTTTTTTAATGAATTCGTTACAGTTTGTTTTTTTCCTGTCCCACCAAAAACACGTTTTATTCTGAAAGATAGTTTCAATATCAATTATTTTTTCCTTATCGAGAAAAGTATCAATTAATTTTTCTGAATTTTTTGAATGAAGAACAGTAACATAATCAGTAAAGATTACAAGCTAGTCCAGACAATCAGCCAACACTCCCCCCCTTTTTTTTTTATAAAAATTAGCCAACCTCTTTTAATCCTCTACTACTTTGACAGTATAAGGTGGTGGTTGATTATAAATAGTATAACAAAAAAAAATCTTTTTATGCCTAAGTGGCATTTTTTTATTTATTAATCATTCAAAACAAAATTCTTTTGTACGGACTTTGATGATTTGCACAAAAGTTTATATTAGAAGAAATAAAGAATGGGTGCCAATAAAAATAAATTATTGATTATTTTACTGTAAAAGAACCCATATTATTTCAATAATTACTTTAACTCAAAAGGTAAATACTCGAATCACAAGTAAAATTAGAATGCACATCACAACTAATTTATTTTAAACAAAACACAGATAATTTGTAGTCCACTCATGAAAGACCACCAAAGTTACCCCCTCGCGTCTCAAATGAGAGAGAAGATAAAGATAATATCCTACACAAGTCATCTAAACAAATGTTTGAAGTATTAGTTTTTTTTTCTTTCAATAATGTCCCTAATAACTATTATACTTTACTTTTCATGGCAGAGAAGAGGAGGAGGAAACCTTCACGTTAGATAAATGAGGCCTTTTTGGAAAATAGGGTTGACAAATCTAATGTGTTTGACTGTTTCTATCATTTTTCTTAATTTTAATGAAATAAGTAATGGTGACTTATAGTTGAGATCAAAGAGAGTAATCCTCTAGACTACTCTCTCCGTTTTTATTTATAAGATTAAAAAAATTGCATTACACAAATCGATTAGCTATATTAATTGTGTTTGAAAATAAAAAAGTTGGATTACAATACCCTTTATTAATTATATTAGTTAAACATTCATTAATTGTTTCTTATGATTGTGAATGATGAAATTATGAAGGATAATTTAAAAAAATTGTAATAAATTCCTATTAGAAAATGTGATTTTGTTTATATAAAAAAAAAAAAAGTGACAATTTTTCCTACAAATAAAAATGGAGGGAGTACTCTTTTTGTCTTAAATTATAAGATAATTTTAGACAAAATTTTATATACTAATAAACCTCATAAAATACATTCAATAACTTTATCTTTTCAAAATAAAAATATAAACTTTTAAAAATACCTATAATTTAATATACTCCCTCCGATACAAAATATAAGACATTTTTAACCACAATTTGAATACAAATAAAATTAAGTCATATCCTTGTTTTTAGTTATAAATATCATAAGTTTTCATTTTTACCTTTTTTCCCAACTGTTAATAATAAATTAAATGAGAGATAATATTTTTTGAATGAAGTACTATAACATGAGAAAGCATGAACCTCCTTGCAAGCCAACAAAGTTTTAGCTATCATGAAGAGTGAGAAAAATGTAATAAATACTAATAAAGTTACACAACAAACCAAGTTAATAAATACAAGGGTAAAATAGGAAAAAAATTTCAAAACCTACTAAGCATCCTATATTTTGAACCAAGATGAGCTAGGAAAAAATGTCTTATAATTTAAACTGAAGGGAGTATATTGAAAAGAGAAGGATAGAAATTAATTATAGAGAGAGAAAGAATAAGATTAAAATTAGTGCATTTAATAAAATCTTATTCTATTTAAAGTATCTTATATTTTAAAACAAAAAAATTCCTTCAAAAGTGCCTTATAACTTGGGAAGGAAAAAATATAATATAAGGTATTTGTAACTACTTTATGGTTCTCAAAAAAGTTTGGTGAAACCTTAATTTCTTAAAAAAATTAACATTTTTTCAATTATTCTCTCATTAAATACTATATATAAATTATAAAGGTCTTCATAATAACAATTGAAATTAAAATACATTGCATTGTTTTTTATAAAAATGTAATAAATAAAGTAGAAGTATAATTGAAAAAAAAATTATAAAAATTATATAAAGCCTTATATTTCGAACCAAATATAAAAAAATAAAGTGCTCTCTGGTCCGAAGGGAATAATTTTGCAAGCCATAACCTTTGCTTTATGCGTCATTTTTATTACTTTAATTATCAGAAGTCCCGTTAGACACCCGAATGACTTAGTAGAAATTCTATTGAATAATTCACCCAAAAATAAAAGAAATTCTATTGAATATTCTTCATGTACAAATTTCAGAAAGATAAGAATGAAAGACAAAGGAAGATAACATGTCAAAAATGGATAGATAGTGATGTTTATGTCTAACACACTACAACCAAGCACCCAAATTTCACACAATTCATCAGAAAGATTAAACGACCAGATTTTGTTTCAATGGAAGCTCTTTCATGGCTAGAAAGAATGCCTGATCAAAAAGTTGAGCCATTGAACCCGAAGAATGATCGCTGCCTCAGAAAAATAGAAAAATAGTGATGATCAGATCTTGACATTGTTGAATGAAAAAAAAAAAACACACACACACACACACATTTTGGAATAATCTCTGTAACTTTGACAGGATTTAAGAAACAAACAAACATTTTTGGGGAACCACGTTTTGGGTTAACAAACAAACATAGCATTGGTTGTCCGGTTTCCTTACTAACTAAAACAAAGCGACAATCTCAAAATGAATCTGACAGTGAAGGAAAAAAAAAATCATGTATTCATAGAGTTTGCCAAATCAGTAACTGGTGCACATTGCTGATGGAAAGAGAACTTTCTGAACAAGTATTACAGACAAAGAGAGTCAAGGAACTTATATGGAATCACTTTACATCAAACAAGTTGAACAGCGATGGGAGCTAATCACAAATATTGTTCAGATTGTGCTCATGAACAGCTATACTCTTCTAATGTTTCAGCTAAGCTTCCAAAATCATCCCTCTTCCACCCCCAATTTGGCGAATTTCAGTGCAAAAATTAAAAAAAATAAAAAAAAAATCCCCCCAAACATGCCTTAGGAGCAATCTCACGTTACACTACTCTTCTAATAGGCAAGTACATACTGCAAAACCCCCCTCCCCCAAAAAAAAAAAAAACACAGCTATCAGAGGACAGGACAAAAGAATTACCTGAGCATCATAAAATTTGATATAGAAACGAGAGCTATCAATTGATAGCTTAGTTTCAAGAATTTCTGCAATTGTTGAACTCAGATTTCCGTTAACACTTGGATTAAGTCCCCCTATGGAGATCAGTTCTCCATATGCAGCTGGCTCTTCAGTACCACCAAATGCAATAGGTACTTGCCCATTTAACAAAATCATCACATACTGAAGAAAGTAACGAAAAGACACACAAGAGTATTACAGCAATGCTGTTTGGGATGGATATAACAGGGATATAAAGAATGAAGAGTACATAACTGCTAGTTATTGACCACACCAATTATAATTTACATAGATGAAATTGGTAAAACCAGGCTACACACAGGTTTAGCTGAGCTAATAAAAGTGAGAATGCTCAAACCAGGACTAAGTGTACTAATGAAGTCACCAAAGCCAGGCTAACGTCAAGAGTATTACAGAGTAACAACAGAAGATGTCAAGTGAATCCACCAATAATACAAGAAATTGGTTTTTCTCATTATGTAGTTTTTACCCATTTTAGCAACTAGCTTAAAGGAGCAAACGTCAACCAGTTTGTTTGGATGAAGATAAAAGAGCAGAAATTTAATGTTCATCTCCATTATTTTGTAAAATTACTTCCTTCCATAACTTTTCTGAAATAATGGGTTCAACTTAAATTAACTACGGCACAGAGTAATGGTGTTTCGACAATTCACCCAGCTAGTTCCACCATTTTCCCCAAACAGTGCTCATAGACATGCATCTATCTCACCCCATTCACGTTTAAAACCTTACAAAATTCCATCAAATTCCAAACACGACCCAATTTTCAATTCTATTCTAGCAACATGTTTCTGCCAATAGAAAAATGCTCAAACTACTCATACTCATACTTCAGCTAGTTCGGGCATTGTGTCGAACATCTTGAAGGCGCGATTTTGAGCTCATACTGCCATGATTCATTACGTCGCTTCCAACTATTTTCACAGTGAAAACAAAAAAACAAAAACGAAAAGAATGAAAAAGAGGATTGAAGAAACTAAGGAGTTAGACTCACGGATTCAGGTTTGCCAATGATTTTAGCAACAGCTTTGGTGGCGTCCCTGAGAATATCAGAAGCCACGACGGAATCCACAGGCACGTTCGTAAATAAGTTCAAAGTCGGCATTTGTGTCTTCGTGAAGACGATAAGTGAATCCACAAGTGAACGAGTGGCCTCCGTGAGGACACTCTTGAGGATTACAACGAACTGTCTTCAGCTCTACGGAGTTTGCAGCCCATGGTTTGGGAAAAGTACGGCTAGAATATATATAAATTAGAAACCGTAAATTATTACCTTATTTAAAATTTAAAATATAAATAAATTTATCAAAATGTCCTTCATTTAAATAAAAAAAATATAATGTTAAAATTATTATTATTATAAAATAAAAATATTGTTAATATTAATTAAAAAATTTAAAAAATAATGATTGAGAGATATAAAATTAAAATTTATTTTTTAAGCCTTTCAAAAATATTTATAAATATATAATAATTATTTAAAAATTTATTAAAATTAATTTTAAATATAAATTTAATCACTTTTAAATTTTTATATTTGTTAATATATGGGCAGACCACTTAAAAAAATGACACTATTAAAATTATTATCATAAAATAAAAATATTATTAATTTTATTTAAAAAATAAAAAAATAATAGTTGAGAATGAATTATTTTTTATTAAACTGGAATTTACTTTTAAAACTTTATAAATGTATTTATGAATATACAATATTTACTCATAAATTAACTAAAATCACTTTTGAAAGACAGATTATCGACATTTTTTTAATTTTAAATAAAAATTATGATTCATTATTAAAATTTTAATAATTTAAAATCCCTATGATCCCTTATTATCATTTTCCCTCTAGATTTTACATTTTCATTCCATCTTTTCTAGTTGAAATTCTATTTTTTAAAAAAAAATAATTCCTTTGTTAGAAAATATAAGACAATTTTTAATCCAATTTCACCTCTTAATAAAGTAGTTACTTACTTTTTAACTAACCTTATTTTTTTATATTTATTCATATTAAATACCCTATAATAAATATAAAGTTATTATCAATAGAGGTACCTTAAAAAAATAATAATTATATTTTAAAAGGTTAAAAATATCTTATATTTTTAAACATCCAACTCTTTAAAAAATATTTTATATTTTTAAATGGAAAGAGCATTAATCTAGCCTTTTTTCATGGGAGAAAAAAAAAAAAAAAACCCACACCCCGCCCGCACGAATATAGTAACGCTAAATTTAAATCAGGATCTCTTCTAAAAGCAGAAGTGACGCTGCCACCTTCTAGAAAACATTTTATTTTTTAGAAGTATTCATTTCAATGAACTATTAGCCTGTTAAAAATAACGTGTTCTGATAAATAATTAAGAAATCATAACCAGTTATTTTTTATAATATATTGAAATATTTAATTTTCCAACAAAAGTCTTTAAATAGTGTTTCTTTTTTCCTTTAACTTGGTCACAATTTAAAATATAATTTCATTATATTTTGCTCAAAAATTATGATGAGTTAGGGCCATTGTTTAACTACATCAATATATTAATAAATACTTCCTTCAGTTTTTATTATAGAACACTTATAATCATTTTACACATATTAAAAAAATTCTTGATATAAAAAAAAGTGAAGCACTTTCATTTTTACTCATAACTTTAAATAATAGGGAGAATTTCATTTAAGTGCCTGGGAAGAAACTTATTTTCTGGTGGCTCTCCAAAAATTTCAAAACTTCAGTTCAGTTCTCAGGGATTAAATTAAAAATAAGTTGAATGTAAAAAAGATCAAAATACTTCCAATTCAAATATATATATATATATATATATAAACCACCAGCCACCATCAACCAGAGCACCACCACTGGTGACGGCAGCCATTGGACCTCCGTTACAGGAGCTCCAGCCACTGACTGGACTATCGTCGATGGTGATTGGAGAATTAATTTCTTCAAAGGTGGTCAAGGTGAATGTAAAACCTAAGATCCTTTAGTTCACTAGAAAGTTTTGGCACATCAAGCCATTTAACACATTCAATATATAATGTATAAAATTATATATATAATAAACATTATTTCAAATCACTTGATTATTACGTTACTTGTTAATTACTTAACTTTACTTATTAATCTCATAACTTCTGCAACAAAACTAAATTACTTGTTAGTCGCATAATTATACTTGTTAATACCTTAACAGGACTTGTCAATTACTTAACTCTACTTGTTAAGTCCGTGACTCTCACAATAGAGCTACATTACTTGTTAATCGTGTAATTGTAGTTGTTAATACCTTAACAGGATTGTTAATTACTTGAATTTACTTGTCAAATCCATAACTCCTTCAATTGAATTGCATTGCTTGTTAATCATATAACTTTACTTGTTGTGTATACAACAATACTTGTTAATTGTGCAGCTTGACTTGTTAATACCATGACAATAGTTAAACAATTCTTGTCAAATAATTGAGGGAGTCACAAAATTAATAAGTCAAGCTATGTAATTAACAAGTATTATTGTGTAATTAACAAGTGAAGTTACATGATTAACAAGTTATGCAATAATTGAAGGAGTCATGATTTTGACAGGTAAATTTAAATAATTAACAAGTCCTATTAAGATATTAACAACTACAATTACACAATTAATAAGTAATGTAGTTCTGTTGTGAGAGTCATGAACTTAAAAAGGAGAGTTAAATAATTGACAAGTCTGTTAAAATATTAACAAGTATAGTTGTGCAATTAACAAGTAATTTAATTCTATTGCAGGAGTCATGTGATTAATAAGAAAAATTAAGTAATTAACAAATAAAGTTACACGATTAACAAGTAACGTAATAATTAAGTGGTTTGAAAATAAAATTTATTATATATATAATTTTATGTATTATATAATTGAATGAATTGCATGACTTGGTGGTTCAAAATTTTTTGATGAAACAAGAAGTTTTAAATTCTACACCCATCTTGCCACCTTTGAAAAAAGTAACTTTTCATAATTCTCCAATCAGCCAACGATTGTTCAGCCAACGGCCAGAGCTCTGAAGTGACTATCGTCACCGGCAAGATTTTAATCACCAACCATGATGGCTAGTGGTTTTTTCAAAAAAAAAAAAAAAATTTGAACTGAAATTATTTTAATCTTTTTCATATTTAACTTATTTTTAATTTAATTTTAAAGACTAAACTGACATTTTAAAATCTTTTGAAAGTCACCAAAAAAAAAATTCCTTCTTAGGTACTTAAATAAAATTCTCCCTAAATAATAATACAGATTAAATATATTTACGGTAATCAAAAAGGAAAAAAATTAAAAAAATTAATTTAATTATTACAAAATATCTTATAATTTAAACCAAAAATTACTTACAAAATATGTTTTATAAATAAAATCGGGAGGAGTAACAAATAGTTAGGCCCGTCAAAAAATATACTGACAAATAGCTGCTAATTTAATCCAATCCAATTTAAATTTTGAAAAATAAATTATTTTAAGCCTTGATTCTATTTATAAAAAACCAAATTATTATCCTGTAATTTTCAAATTTTATCATATCCCCATAGTTTTATGGACATGCTCTCTCATCCACCTGAAAATAAAATAAAACATAATAATTTCTCTAAACATCAAGGAATAAACCAGTTTGCAAAAGGGAGGTTTTAAAGCTCCCTGATTAGCATAATAAGGACCAAAACACAATGATGAATGAAGACATGGTATCAACGTGGAATAGCAAACCTAAATATCATAATCATAAAAATTATAACTTGATCTCCCTATAGCTGTGGATGCCACCATCAGGCTTCTAAATCAATACGAAATTATACACAATAAAACAGGCAGGCATAATTGGGAAAAAGGCTTTTTGTTATCTCGTTACATTGTCTATGAGAAATAGTACAGCATTAACTTTCCTCAATCAGATCCAATTAGGAAGAAACTAAGCCCAAAAACAGAGCACTCATGAGCTTAGGGAGATTAACTTCAGAGTCTAAAAGTACTATAGCCTCCTAAACCAGAAGAGCCATAACCTGTGTAGGGCTGTGCGGACGCTGAAGAAGATGAGTAGGATGTACCGCCGCCCAACTGAGCATATGAAGACCTCAGACCACCACTATCTAACCTACCGTAACTGCTAGAGGCTGGTTCTTTGTGATTGCTTATCACTTCCTGCAACAAGAGACGAATCTTTATCAGCAAATGCAAACTGTTACGCAGATGGTATCAAATATTCGCATGACAAGTAATTCAGCCACACTATTCAGTTTTTGATCCAATGATTAGCCTAAATTCACTCATTTAACAAGTGTCCCACACGACATGGTAAGTGGTAACAACTGTCAATTTAATTAACCGACTGACAGAAATTCTGTCATATGTACTCAGATTGCACCGAATCTCAAATCTTTGAAAGGGGCAGCGTATGTGAAGGGTGATCTGATCGTGATGGTTGCTTTGAGTTTTTAGAGGGAAATGTATCTTAATAACTTTTAAATGTTGATGAAATCCAATAGCTGTAATTAAAACACTCATTAAGTGAATAGATTTAGGCAACTCATTGAATCCAAATCCCACATGATCAAGGAACATTGCTATAAATATATAGGAGGAAAACAGAAATGTGATGATTGTGTTTGCTGGACAAAACTTGTATGTGGCTTCTACTGCAACAGATATACCCAAGAACAAAAAATGCACAAAACAGAAGAAGTCATTCAGTTATCGATTTCTGACAGTGCTATAATGAAAATAACTGGATCCAATTTCTTCTATATTTTAATTTTCCTACCTACTACTGTTTTTCCATCCTCATCCCATGCTATCAAGCTGAAGTTACTGTGACTGTGATAGACTGGGAGCGGGAACTTCTTGGTGGGCGGAGTGTATAACTTTTTAGTCATGAAGATCAAGATCTCGAGTAATAGTATATGCGTCTAAACTAAATAGCACTGTAGTGAGCGAAGCATTAATAAATCATTCTGTCCAACTATTCAGCTATGTGCATAATCTCAACCTATCATAGCAGAATCAATATATATATAGCCACTATTTTCAGGCTGAAAAGGCCCCGTCAATTCTCTTACCTGAATCAACTGCTGTGCCAACTGAACTTGTGTTGTGGTGCCTTTAATTTCAACAATAATTTCATCAGGCACCCTGCTCTCTTGCACAGTCAGTATGGCTCCACTAGTACGGCGAATGTAAGCAATATTAGTCCCTTGAATCCCAATGATGTCTTCAGCATAGGATAGTGGTATTTGCATTGTTTGTATCACCTGATAATTGAAAGGAACAAAAAAGGTGAGCAGGAGTTACCATGACCTGTCAAAGGATAAATAAATAAAATATATGAAAAGAATTAAGGCATAGGTTAAATCTTAGAATCATAAAATTTAAGCCACATGAACTAAAATGTTTCTGTAAAAAATAAGAATGCCACATAAAATCCTAGTAGATAATCTGAAATATGTTATACATAAGCAATCAAGGATATTGAATTGTTTCGAAGGAAGCTTTTAACTTCATAGTATACAGAAAAGACATTTAAGTAGTTAAATTACTAACATTGGTAACAATGGGAGCCCCGGCACGACCAAGTGTTGAAGAACGAACACCAGAAAGTGAAGAATCTTGCCCATAGAGTGACATTGCAGAGGATGGGAGTTGTGAATCCAAATGAATTTCACGTTCAACAAAGAGAGAATCCCTTTTGCTTGAAAGAGGAACATCTGCACTAATGCTAGTTTGTGAAGCACTATGCAGAGACGTCTTGTCAGCCCAGGCATCTGCTTGGCGGTCTTGTGAGGTTGTTGCATTGTACTTAAACAGAACAGAAAGTCACATATATAAATGAAATGAAAAATATTAAATAAGAGAAATATCAACATCTCAATGCCGTATTCATCCTATTCAAAAGACAGAGTATAAACCAGTATGCGTCTTCAAACCTAAATATCATAGCACATAAATCCTTTTCTTTTTCTCCAACATGAAATTAGGAATATAAAATAGTAGTTCAAAACAGAGAATATAGAATGGTAATACACTGCTAAGAACCTTTAAACGCAAATGATAAGTCCCATGGCATTAGAATATCACCCCCACCAAAACAAAAATAAATAAATAAAGAGATTCAACAGCAAGAGCTTACAGTTTTTTTCTCAAAAAGGGGAAGAACACTATGATCAACCAAGAACTTTCGTAGGTGGCCAACTACTGCTTCCAGAGCCTTAAGGACCTTCAAGGCTTCTCCCTGCAACTCTACAATCCTCTCATCCGCAGCAGCATAAAATGGCACCTCATCTATCAGGAAAATATTATCAAAAACATCTATCAGGTAAATGATTTGGTAAGCAGAAGTATCATATTCTAGATCAACATACTAACTGCAATAGCATCATGCTGGGATGAAGGGAATAAAGGTATTCACAAACAGGGTACCACTGCATCCAGCTTTAAAAAGAAAAGGTACACACTCTAAATTAATTTGACCAAGTAACTTTCATGAGATATGCTGGAAGAAACCAAGTCACAGTCTGGCAGTCTGCTAACTATGCTACCATGGGAAGCTGAAAGTAAAGACAATGGTGGTTCCACTGGAAGACTTATAGCATCAAGGAAAAGTGACTTATATACACATTCTAAGTATATAGATTCAAAAATAATTATATAAACAGATGAAGTTTTGACGGCATAATAAAACAGCAGCCATCCAAAAAACACCCTTCTATGATACGAATTAAAAGTAAACGTTCATATTTAAAAAGCAAGATTTTGAGAGCTGTATAAAAGTGCGCATTTTTTAATCCCAATATTCTAGCTACTTATAGCCTAGAAAGTAATGAATCAGAAAAGGGCTAGATATTTTCCCCCCCTAACTGCAAGAGTAAAGGGTAAACAATGGAATGTTGCTAAACAAACAATTATTAACAGCCTAAAATTTAGTCTCCATATGGATTAGGTTTAAAGAATTAGTTACTAGTGCTACACCCTCCCAGGGATAAAAAAATGCACTAGGGAAAGATTTCCCTAGAAACTAATAGCAACCAAAGCAGTGTGGAGAACTCTCCCTCAAAAGTGTGCTGATGGAGTGGTAAAATTACCGTGCTTAAGCACTTCATCAAGCAGCCCATACTACTTGATGTAGTATTCAGGTATCACATATTGTTCTCTATCAAAAGCCCATAGTTTTGCCATTGAATTTGGAAGCAATATGAGAATAAACCTTACTATTTTCAGTGCAATACATCCATAGTCAATAGTAATGTAACATTCTGGGCTGCAGTACAGCTGCTAGACCAGGGAACCTCACTTGCTATGTAAGTGGTAGCTAAGGAGTAGGCTTTGTGATTTTGCTGTTCATTTGAGGGGGGTAAAGACTAAATCCACCTATCAATAATCTTTCTTAGAAAGCCAGTCAAAGCACATGAAAGTATCAAAAGATACACTGTGGCAGGCTTCACATGACATTAGTCAACATGAGGAAGAATGCACAAGATAAATAGTTGCTAGAAACATCCTCAATGCATAATTAGACAGTAACAAGAAGCATACCTCCAGACAATACACGAGCAGAAGCACCAGTACTCTCCTGTATAGATTTAATTAATGAACCTTGCTTTCCAATCAAATTGATAGCCTGTGTTGATGCCACCAACAGACGAACAGAAACGTATGCAACAGCAGCAGGTGCTGATGCTTTACTCTCACCATCACCTTCAGATAATCCATAGACACGCTTAAATACCCTTATTGCAGCATCCATTGCAGGGGAAAGAGGTGCCTCTGGCTCTTCCTTCCCTGATATGAGTACCTAAACAGATGAAGAATCATTTAATAACATTCATGATTTAAAAGAAACAGACAGACAAGTAAAAGGTACTCATTTGAGGAAAACGTTCAAAAGGTCTAGTCGTGCATGTAAATGAATAATCAGAAAGGCATGTAAACCAATAAAACTTTAGAATTAACTTCCATCCACTTTGGTAATTGACTGCTGCCATGTAAGCAACAGATTTTAAGACAATTGAATTAGCATGTTTACGCGTATAACACTAACTCCTCAGGGATCTCGCTCATAATTTAGATGAAATTAGAACCATTAGCAACATGAAGAACATGCTTTCTCAAAGTATCCAAGTAATCTAATAAGGCAACTACGTCATAAATGTTATCCATATAATTCCAAACCTTGAAAACCAACCGTAACAATAAATTAATATTTAACAGTAAAACGCATTACAACAGTAACAAAGTTTTAATTAAATTGAAGTCGAACAACGGAAACAAGAATCAATTCAAATTACTGTGGCGGTTGTTAAATACTGGATAAAGAGAATACATCAATCAAATCAAACGGCGAGAAAGCAGAATGAACAACCTCATAACCCTCCAGTGGTAAAAAGAGAATTGACCTAACGCAAAATTGTTACTTGTTAAGTAACGTGAAGTCTAAGTCCAATACGAATCCCCATTATTCTGCTTCGCTCCCTCGACAATAGAACTAAAAGGAGTGTAACCAAGATAACAAAGGAACAAACCCTAGCAAAACCAACTCAAATAACCACAAGGAAAGAAAGCATTGAAGTACAAATCTTGACTTGCATAATCTTCCAAGTGCTTCTTTTTCCCGGAAAGCGAAGAGGAACGTAGAGATGGTCAATAAATCGATAATACCAAAAGGAAACCCTAGAAAGACAGGTGGAAGTACACTCACAATTCGATCCGGAGTGCCAACGGCACCATCGAGAACGCGAATGCGCGCTCGAGTCTCCTCGCACATCCTTTTAATGAGCTCTCCCTTCCGGCCGATAATACTACCTACCTTGAGGACCGGCACAATGAGCCGGAACACGCAATCCCCAGGCCAACCCGGCCACCTCTTCTCAGGTGGAGTGGCGGTGTTGGTGGTTGTAGCAGAGGGCTGATCGGCGGAAGCTTCATCTGCCTTAGGAAGCTCGGACTCGGGTTCCTCATTCGATGGGTTACCCTGGGTGGCGTTCACATCAGTAGCAGCCTTGGTGTTGGTGGTGTCAGCGGTGGCTAAGACGGCGGTGGAGGCATTGTCCGATGCGACCACAGGTGGCTGGGGCTCTGGCGCCGTGGTGGCACCGTTCTCGGTGGCTTCGGCGGTGGACATAACCGAGGTCGGAGAGAGAACTGGGTCAAGCTAAGGTCTTTGAGCGTGCGGGAGAAAAAGGGTTTATCGGTGATTGAGGCTTGGTTCAGCTAAGTGAGTCTTGAGGTTCGAACGAGGCATACCAAATTACCAATGTCATGTGTCGTAGTGCACGTGCCCAAGCCCAATACGTGAGAATGCGATCACTGTTTTTTTTTTTTTTTTGCCCATAGAAAATAGTAAACATTTAAATTTAAATTTAAATTTAAATAGTAATCTTAATTGAAATTTTCAATTTGTATGAAATTTGAAATCAATTGCCGAGTTCAATCAGTACAATATGTGTGTGTATAATATTTTCTTCAAATTATTTACATTATATAATTAATTTCTTTAAATTGGTAACGTGACTATTAATAAATAATAATGTAAAACACAAAAACCTAATCTACTTTTTAGGGTTAGGAATATGGGCTAACCTGAATCATATAAGTTGGATTTAATGCATTTTTATATGGGTTGAAAAAATCTTAACTCAGCCTAACTTTTAAAGGTTGGCAGATTAAACAGATTAACTTGTCAACTCATTTATTTTTTTGTTAATTTTTTAAAAAATATACCTAAATAATGAGGTTCAATTTGATATTTTTTTTCATAATTCATTCTAGATATATAAAAATATTATAATATTTGTATAAAATATATAAATCAATCTGATTAGGTAAGTTATGCTTAACATGGTTTATACTCACAAAATTTCTCCTTTTTTCTTTTTTTAATTTTTTAAAAATAGTATGAGTTAAGCAAGCCAACCTTATCCCATTAGGTTTAACCCGTGTGATTCACATGCTCTACAATCTGGGTCAAAAAAAATTATTTTTATTTGGGTCAATTTTTTTCCCAAGTCAACCCGACCTTTATGGATGATTATTCAAGTTAATCTAGATAACCTAATTCATATTCTGAGTTGTACTATTTTCTTATATAGTGAGTAAAAATAAGCCTCTGGCTTGTATTTGATGGGTTTGTTTTGTGATCAAATATTATTAATCACTTTCACAGGGTAATTTTCTCAGGCCTCATACAGATCCAAAATTAACCATATTCTAATCAAATGTATAAGAAAAGCTACTTTGAGGTCAAAATCCAAGGCATTCCTTTGCTTGGTACTTCTTTGTTGAAGAATAATTCTAGTTCGACTTTGCTATACCGACTAGAAATTGTGGTGTTAGAGATTCTCAAAGATAGTTGCTGGATGGAAGGATAGATAAATGCAAAGCAAGCTCAACACTTATGATTGAAACAATGGCTTAAGAAGGAGCGGTTAAATACGACATGGATAATCAACTCAATGATATATTATTGGATATGATTGTAGATCTTTGACAAGTTGTGTTTTAAGGTTGGTTGCTCGGGATAACTGCGATGCAACATTTTTATTGAGAATATCTTTTCTTTAAGGAAATCTATCAAGAATGTCTATTCTTTATGGACTTGTAGGAAGGTAAACTTGTTCTGATGATAGATTGATTCTCGAGATTGAATTATCTACTTATTACCTCCATTACTAAAGCTGGTAAATCAAGATTGTGTAAAAGATAGTATTGATGCTACAGTTCATGAAAGTGTGGGACAAGCTTCTTCATTTAGTTTGATTATGTTTTTGGACATTATTTTCCTTTTATCTGTTTTGTGATGCATTGTGGGTCATTTTATTGATAATCTTACTTTTTATAGAAAAAAAAATATTCAGTCAAGGATTATTTTTCAATTTCATAGCATTCATTTGTTATGAGACTTCTTATTGCTTTAAGATTCCTTAAAATCACACATTTTCATTCAATATTAGCCCTTTGTGGCATTTATTTGATTTTCTTTCACACTCTCCATTTCTCTCTTAACAAATCCTTGAACCATCTCACCAGTCATAAATTAAAAAATTGCAGTCACCTATTTCATTAATGTTGATGATCAATCTTGAAGTAAACTAAATTACTTTTAAAAATTGATATCTTTTGAATAGATGATCTACAAAGATATAAAATTTCCATATTAATTATGTTTTTTTTAAAAATAAGTGAGTTGTATCCTAAGCTCACGAAAACCAAAGTATGTTTTTAGATTTAATGATCATTTATAAAAAAATTTATAAATCTCTTATCAACAAAATTTTTACATTAAAAATGAGATTGGATCCCGTGGTCTTATAAATTATAAGACAAGTCTTCATCAACTTAACCAACTTTTGTTACTTATTAGTTATGTTTTTGTTTTTCATCCCTACATGGACAAGGTTTGTGGTTGATTTAAATGTGATACTTTCTGAGCATCCAAATATCAAACTATCAATTTACTTACACAAGAAATGCGGCAACATGGGATAAGGAAAAATCAAAGAAATGCACAAGATTATCATTATATGAATTTTAGGCCATGAAAGTTTGTGATTCAATCTCAAGACACCTAAGATAAAAGAATATCGTAACCTGGGTTTAATATTAAACACAATCTGCGGGTTATAACAATTAATTTTGAATATAAAGGTATCACTTCATCTGCATAAAATGTGATTAGAGAACAGAATACACATTCGATCTCTCATGTATATATATTAATGTGTATCACTTTGTTATATTCTCACAATGTGTGTGTATCACAGATCGTGTTTGAAATGGTCCTTGGTAAAAAGAGTGTAGGACAAATTTGGGCTTGGATGTAAGGCCCAATAAAATGCTGGGCCCATGATCTTCCTATTTTGAGTGGCGCTCACTGCTCAGTCCACTGGATAAGATCCGCTCTCAATTGAAAACACTGAACAATCTTGATATCCAGGTAATATTAATAAAAAAAATGATATCCAGATAATATACAATTTTTTGCATGATGTTGATGAAGAAGAAGATGATGATGATGTTATAAGTATCTGATTTTATTATCTGTCCAATCTCTGCTAGAATCATGACATTTGAATAGTGTATAATTCAATGCTAATAAATTGATTTTGTTAAATATATCTATATATAATAATTAACTTACACTTCATGGAGTGTAAGTTAATTATTCTAATAGAAAATCTGGGCCCTTGAAGATTTGTTGCTCCCTCCCTCCCTGTTTGTGGAGCAATTTTTTAGATTTAAATCCTTTCAAGTTAAGATTCATTAATTTATGTGAAGTTTTTTTTTTAATATTTTCATTTATTTTATTATTTTTAATGAATTATAAATTTTTCTCTCTTTCTTAAAAAGGAAAACTCCATGAAGTTTATGATTTCTTAACTTGACAGGGGTTGAATCCTACTCTCTCTCTTTTTTTTATTCTTTCAACTTTCTCCTCACGTCTTATTGAGACGAGCACAATTTTTTCATTATCTTTTTTAACATATTTTAGTAGGTCTTGAATGTTAAAAGGATGAGTGCATTATTGAAAAAAATTTTAATTTTAATACAAAATTTTAATTTTAATAAAAGTGCACCTTTGGCTCGTTTAACATTACAAAATATTTTATTTTAATCCCTTAATTTTATAAAATATTCTTTTAAGTTATGTAATCCTAACATTATTAGTTTCACCACAAAAATATCAATATTAAACTTTTAAATGTTAATAAAATATGCTCAAATGTTGACATAATATGTTTAATTTTTTAAAATAATAATGATTAATTGATTGGCACAAAAATATTATTTGAAACTAACAATATAATATTAACATTAAAGGATTAAAAAAATATTTTATTAATTCAAAACATCAAATTGAGACATTATATAAAGTAAGATAATAAAAATATACTTTTACTTTTAATAGATTAGCTATGCATGAAATAAAATTGACTTTCATTTAAAACAGAAAAAGAAAATTGTTTTTTTTTTTTTTGGTATGGAGAAGTGTAACTTTTTAACACTTGAAAAGGATTGTAATAGGAGGATCCCTGTGAGAAACAAAAAAAAAACATTTTAACGTTAAATGTCCAATTTTATATAAGATTTTCGTTTTGTTCATTTATTTAAAAAATCATTTTGAGAATGTTTTATAAACTAAAAAGGAAAAAAATATGTATTGATATTTATTTACATCAAATCAATTGGAATTTTAAATTCAAAATTTATACATAATTCTTACCAAAATATATATAATTTAATATTTTTATCTAAAATTTATATAATATAAATACTTATTTTTATTTAAAAAATTTATTATGAGAGGAGAGGGAGAATTGTGTGTAATTTTTATATAAGTACAAAAGGTGAGGAGAGAGAAAATGTGGCTGGCAACACTCTGACAATTTTTTTAATTGTATTGAACTCGATATGATAAATATCAAATTTTATATATGTTTAACACGAGAAAAAATTTGGAACTTGATATCTACCAGACAAAGATTCAATTTATAATAACTTGGTAAATATTTTTAAAAGTGCATTTTTAGAAATATTTTTTTTTAACGTGGTAGTCAATTTGCCGATCAAAGAGTATGTTGTGAAATTGTCCTGATGCTTGAAGAATATGGAAGAGATGATATGGTCCCCAAACAAGTGTGATATTTGTAAGCATGTGACTATTAGATAGTGACCCTACTAGCATGACAGCTGAGGGGTGATGTGTTTGTGCGCGCGCCAAAGCTTTATTTTAGAAAGATTGTGTTTCTTTCTTTGTGTGGTTTTCCCCAAGCTTTCAAGTCCTTTGCATATAATATGCTCATAGATCTTTGAAAAATGACCTCATTTGGATGCTATTAGTGTTTCCCTAATCACCTTAACATGCTTATCGCCTCTTCTCTCACCCCTTCTCTCACAACTTGTTAAAAACTAAACCAATCATTAAATCAATTATTAAGTTGATTTGAGAATTAATTATTAAAATTATTACCATATGGGCCATAACTAAAATATTGTATTAAACTAGTCAAGATATCAATTCAACGGGGAGGGTTAAGTAGTTAACTTAATTTTCATTACTATGATATATACATAAAAAGAAATATATATATATATATATATATATTAAGTATGTTTAAAATTATAAGATATTTTTTAAAAGTTTGAATATCTAAAAGAGAAAACATAATAATGGTTCCCTATAGTTTAATTGGGTTTTGTTTTCAATCCCTATAAAGATTTT